ACTCACAGGGGGAATCACACCTCCCAGCTGCAGTGGAGACGTGCTCTGAGACCAGGCTGAGACCTATGTGAAGGGCTGATTATCCCACATCTGCCCGCTGAGAAGTTCTGACACCTTCCTCTGAAGCATCTGGTATCAGCCACTGTCCGAGACAGGACATTAGACTAGATGGACCTTGGATCTGATCCAGTCTGGCAATTCCTAACAGTAACACGTTGTTGTGTCACACCAGGGACAGACACACAAATCCCTCCCCCTGCACCTCCTAGTCCCCACCCCAGAACAGCTAGTAACATGCTGCTGGCCTATACCATAATTACCAACTGCTTTAGTGCAAGTCTTCTGGATATCTAATGTGTGTGTCTTGAAGCTCCAGCTCCTGTGTCCATGTGAGTGTGAAAATCCCAGATCTCTTAAAAAATAATTAAGTTTCTAACCTCTTGATTGCAGAGAAGCTAGAAACTGTGAGCGCTAAAGGCACCAAGAACAATAAGACAAAGACCTCAAACTAATGTCTTTTCATTTTTAAGCCCATCTCATGACGTAGAGTGGGGTGATGCATGCTGTTTGAATCCTTGGGGTTTAAATACTCCTCTCTCAGCAACATCCCCACACCAGCCCAGACTCTCCCCATTCCTCTCCCTCCTAACTGCCCTGGGATGGGGAGTTTTACACCCACAAACTAGCTTACTTTTGCATATGGTGAATTGCATTTTGTGCTTAATTCTCAGTGAAAGCAGTATAGAATATCACCATTGGAGGGGACCTTATCCAGTCCAACCCCCTGCTCAAAGCAGGACCAATCCCCAACTAAATCCCCAAATGGCCCTTTCAAGGATTGAACTCACAACCCTGGGTTTAGCAGGCCAATGCTCAAACCACTGAGCTATCCCATGGTGCACCAGCTCAGCAACCCTCAGTAAATTACTTGTCTAGATGAACAGTTAGTGCATGGGAAACTGGGATGATCAAAACCCCAGTGAGACAAACCTATTGACCCCACTTTATGCAAGCATCCTTATTCAGGAAGGTTGCTTAAGTGTGTGTTTAAGAGTTTTCCTGAATCAGAGCCTTCAAGAGAACAGTTAATAGCAGATTTGGGATATAAATAATTTCATTTTCATTTTAGTTCTGTAATGTTTGCATCCTTAAGGACAAATATCATCTGCCTAGAAATGGATAATATCTGTTATGGATAAAAATGGTAATTATAGGGATGTGTTATATGAACATTAGCCTTCAGGACGACTCTGAAATAACAATAATAGTAAAATTGCCACATAGTCATTTCTTCTAAAGCTGAGAAATAGCCTGCCTTGTACTGTAAGGGTTGCAGGATTGGGTCTGATGATGATCAAGGCTAATGATGGCTCAAAAACTTGTGTAAATACTAAAATGCCCAGTGCTTGTATATAAAATTCCAGAACTGGAATGAATAGGGCTGCCTTAACAGGATAACATACTCAAGCTCTGGTTACACAATATGGTGACATGATGATCTACATATGTTTGTTCAGATTAGAACAAAATAGCTCAATAAAAAAACCCTAAAACCTTTAAAAGATAAACCCCTCATTTTAACCTGATTTTATATTTCAAATAGGGGGCAGAGAGAAACATTATACAGATAGCCAAATAATTTAATATTCATTTGATTATCTGAACATTTCAGCCTTAATGTTATTTGAATATAGACTTAATGAGCTGAAAGTAACAGTCTGAAAAATTAAGGTAATAGGTATTTGGGGGTTTACCTTGAACCTTTGGGGAAAAAACCCTAATACCCACATGAAGTAATTTTTTTAAGCATAAAAAAATCCATGCATCACCTAAGTCTTATCAATCATGTTGCAGTGATTATGAAAGATTTAAAGCTAAATGGATGACATTATAAATCAAAATATCCGTGCTATTCACTCATTTGTATTGATTCTGTTTTGTGATACTATATGATTAGCACTATCAATAATCATTTGCCAGTGCAATTTTTTCATGCTCTGCATTATTATCATGGTCAACAAAACACATGGTTGATGGCAATGGGATTAAATACATGCTTAAGCGCTTTGCTGAATTGGGGCCCTAAATGAGCCTTCTACGCTTTCTGCATTGTGGCGCTGAACGTACCACATCTTGAACTTTATCTGCATACTGTATTTGTATCAGATTAATTTTTTTGTTAGCATTTTGGCTTTATGAAATGTCAGAATCTGTCTTGTACTAATGAAATGGCCAAATTTCAACCAAGCTACGAACATAGCTACTAAGCCTATAAGATGTTTACCTTCCGCCTCTCTATGTATAGTAACCGCATCTCTGCTATCTTAAGAGCTACTGACAAACTTCACCTCGTTGTTAATCAATCTAATAAATGTTATTTCATTGGAAAGGGTACTCTTACTCCTGGGATTTAAAATTAATTAATTAAATGTCATTAAAACCAGATACATCCTCTGATTACATGTGACTTCATCTTGTATGCTTGCCTGCACAGTTATGAATGCCAATTCCCACCAAGCCCTAGGATTTTAATTTTGAATGTTATGAATTTTCATTTTTACAGTCAAAAGCTGAACTAGTGGGGGTGGGGGGGTTGAGGGGGAGTTGAATGTGTGTTGGGGGAGAAGGGTTAGTTCCTGCAAGGGCAAAAATTCCACAGTGAAAACAAAACAAAGCACAATCCCGGAAATAGCTCAAGCCAGAAGGCAATAGTGAATCAGGACCTGGTTTGGCATCTGTGATGGATGCTAGGCAGCTGGCTATAGAGAAAGTATGAGATCTAACAGTTGCTTTGTCTGCTAGCCATCAATGTGTTACTGACCTCACTGATCCTGTCCAGTTCTTTCTGGGTAGGGTTCCATCAGAGGTGTTGGGTAATTTCTGATCAGCCTGGAAGCCCTCTTGTATGGTCAGTCTAATCACCCTTGCTGTTGAATATCTCTGTGAAGAAGCCTGGTTAAGGCTTGCTGGCATTCTTTTCTCTCTGTTTCCGTCTAAGCTGGCTTGACATCATCATGTTGCTTGGCTGACAGAGCACAGTGGATGCCTGACAACTGGATGAATCACTCCCCATAAAAAGTGAATAGGGTTCAAAATAATGTCCTTTTTACCACAAGATGAGTGTCTTATGTACCAGAGGTCCACTGCTGTTGAATTCTTACACTCACCCTGCGCTGAAATATAAATGTACCATCCTTCAATGCTAGATTGAGAACGGTTTCTTTTATTTTAGCCTGGCTTCTTAAAACTTTCCTTTCAGCGTCAGTTCCCCTCCGCCACTTAGTTAGACATAGTGCCTGGCTACTCCAAACTGCTCTTAGTTTGTCTTTTAAAATCACCCAGAAGCCCTGAGGATGCCTAGAAATTAATGTATTGGCTTCTTGCACACCAACCAGATGTGCATATATTGAGTTAGTGTCTCTAGTGCTCAATTAATTCTCTCCAGTGGATGGTGGAACCCGTGCTACATTCTGCAACCATTTGTGGCCTTTTCCGTGTAATGTATAGGGCTATCTTCCTTTTGAGCTGTGGTAGCCTCCCATTGTGTAACCCAGTTGTTACAGTGCTCTACAGTGTGGCGTTTCACTTATTGCACCCACTAAATTCAAGGAGTGTGCATAAGCAACTCTTCCCACATAAAGGTTCTGGAGAAAAAACTGTTTTGTCTACTACTAACACTCCCTCTCTTACTTTAGTTACCTGGAACAAAAGCATCCTCCTTCTATCCTGACACAAACCATGAACTACACTTTCAGTCCCGAAGAAGTGGGATGTAGCCCACAAAAGCTTATGCTCAAATAAATTTGTTAGTCTCTAAGGTGCCACAAGTACTCCTGTTCTTTTTGTGGATACAGACTAACACGGCTGCTACTCTGAAACCTGACATTTGATGTGTGTGTAAGGCAAAATCCCCTTTGCTAAGAAATTCATATTAATTTTGCCTCTAAGGGCTTGTTTAAATGAACACTTCCTGCATTGCAAGCTAGGGGGTGAATCTACCCTGCACTAGCCTCCTGAGCAGTAAGTGTCCATGCAGGACCTCCTGATGCATGTTAAAAGTTCCTAGAGCACACACTTGTACTGAGGTTTAAAACAGCAATACTTCAAAGTGCACTAGGGAACTTTTAAAGTACATCAGCAGGGTCCACACGGACACCTAGCATGCAGCATGCTAGTACAGGGTAGGTTCACACCCAGTGATTGTCCATTTAGACAAGCCCTCAGCGACTGGGGTACTGTATAGCCATGCCAGGCTGAGGCAAAGGGTGGTAGGGAGGTGGCCCCAGCCAATAATCACACACATCAGTAACAAATTTTGAATTTGGTAGTTCCTAACTTTGTGGGGAAATCTGTTCGCTTAGCAAGAGGCGGCAACAAAAAAATCCCATGAATTGGCTGAAGAGGCAAGCCAAAAATCTATCACAGGCTGGGATCTGTATGTACACTTTCATACACAGCTTCTGAAAGTGAGGGATCAACTGACTACATGTACGAAGGTGTCTCAGAAATCATGGTGGTTAGATCCTTCTACTGGTATTTGCTGTTGTGGGGTCAGAGCGCACATTCCTAGAGTTCAACTTACACTCAGACATAATTTCTATTTATAAATTATGGTTCGAATCACTGATTCCTTTTACTTGCCTATGACGTGTCCTCATTTACAGGCTGTGGACAGACAAGCATCTCAGAGGCGCCACAAAAGAGATGACTGCAAAATTCTTTTTCCTTTGTGTGCGGTTCCTTTGTGCCAATGTTCCCTTTTACTAGGGGAGTCAGCAGGGAGAATTCTCTGCCATTGTATCTCCAGGAAAGCGGCGACCATACGATACTTCTCTAGCCTTGCAGTAAATGACAGCACCATCGTTCTCAGGGCTAAGAATGGCAACTTCAACTTACATTGTACCTTACACCATACGAAGACATTGCAAGGGATGACTTGCTGGAAAACCCCAGCAGCCCATGTAGCCAGTATGTCCTTTCTCCAATACTCACACATGTTCTTTAAAAAAAAATATTTATTTAAAGCATCTGGAACATGAGAAAGCCACAATATTACAGAAGATCACACATGAAAGCTAAAACATGTAAATATACCTTGAGACAGTAAAATCATTGATCAAAGGTCTGAAGCCACCATTGCAACTGGACCTCAAATAGCAGAAATAGGTCTCCTGCTGATGCTACACAATGCATTCCAGGCTTTTGAGGTAATATTCCTGAGCCTCTTACCCATCTTTCAGCAGGTATTCTCTAATTAAAACTAACCTGCCACTTCTCCCTTTGATGAATAGGGTATTTTATGCAAGTAACTCCTAGGAATGTTGAAAGCTAAGAATATAAATCCCTTACAGGTTAATGGGGGAAAAAGATGATGGACCAACATTTCAAAACTCTGGTCCAAAATTGCACAGTAGGGGACTGAGGCAAAGAATATTGCAGTCAACAGGAATCTTTCCACTGATCTCAAGTGGCCTTTGGATCATGCTCTCAGGGTGTATTAAGTGCAGATATGGTTTCTGAAAGCGTATTTTACAGTAGATTCTATTAGAACTATGGCTTGACATTATCCAGAACAAGGTCATGATCACTTGATGACTATTACATCAAAATTTTCCTCTAGTTTTCATATGGCATTAAATTAGTAAAAACTGTGTTTGTTTATATGCCTTTTTTTCCAATTAGTGTTCTAATTGAGGTCCTGTTTTCTGAGTTTTCCTATTCAAATAATGATCTGCTATCTTTGAACTCCAATTAATTTTTATTGTTACAAATACAACCCATTCCATCTTCAGTGGGCCTTTGTCCAAAGATGTTGCTATTAACATCAGTGAATCAACATGGCTTTGTTGAGAAATTTTGACTGTGGTTGACAACAGATTAAGGAAAGCCTCAAGACAGCCATGCACTAACTAAAATACCAACTTCCTACCACTTGTTCTCCTATGAATTCTAAATTTTCTATACTTTTGAAATTTCAGAAATGTTGAAGGGTGCCCGTAGACTTAAAAAAAAAAGAAGTCTGATATTTAAATGTCCTATAGTGAGGGAGAGCAGCAAATCTTCTCCTCAGCCCCTATTGGGAAATTACTTTTCTTCAGTTGGCTACCCTAACAATGTCTGCTACCTTGTAAACACCTTGCTTGGAAGAGAGTAAACAATATTCACAGTCCTGTGAGACTGACACCAAAAAAAAAATTGAGGCTATGGTATTCATTTAACTTAGATTCAGATTGTATTGTGCACTCTACCTAAGAGGGGACATTTTTACTTATAACACCGAGTGGCAGAATGCAATAAATTATTTATCCCTCCTCCCCCACAATTTTGACACACAGAAATACAAAAAAAGTAAAAACATTCTTAAAATCTTAACTTTTATCAATATTCAACAAGTACATTTTGATATAAAATAACCTCAGTGAAATCTGCACAGTGTAAATGCAAAATTATCAGCCTGTTTATACTTAGTCATCCTTTTTGTCTGAAGTACTTGAGAGGTCTTCTTCATTGCTTTCAGGACCAACTTTATTTCTTGCGATTGGGGTCTTTTCTGAGAGTGATGTCTTACTCTGTGAGTATGTGTCTTCTGGTGTCTGATAATCATCTTCTTCGTCTGTCTGTAGATGGCACCTCTGTAGCTCTAGGTATGTAGTAAATAACTTGGCATATTCTGGATGCTTAAATGCAAAGTCCTTAAACTCATCTGAAATTAAAGACAGTAAAGACAGTGTGTTGAGCAGCAATGATGCAAAATATTCTACTGCACAATAGCAGTATTACAGCAAAGAAAATTATAGTGACTGCGACACTGAGACCAGTATCCCTTCACTGACAGTGACCAGGACAAGATGCTTCAGAGGAAGGGGCAACAGACTCGAGGGGGGGAAGTTTTGCAATTATTATTTATATTGTAGCTGTTCTATATTTAGTCTTATTAAAACTTCCAGAAACTGAAATGCCAATTGAATGGTGACCTGAAAAGTTAAAATTTTACACCTGTCAAAAATCTTGCAATAAGTGAGGCTATTGTGGACTATTTCATTACAAATAATGCGTTCATAGCTGCTTTGAAGCATAAGAGGTAACTGTCGGTCTCAATGGTGGAATTCAGTAGTGTGGGTGACACAGATTTCACAGCATAAATCCCAGACTTTGGAATTGCCTAATACAGGGGCTTAGAATGACCACAAGTCTCATTGCCTTAAATGGGATGTGCAAAGCTCACTGCTTCAGCATAGCTCTCTCTCAGACATAATAAAACCAGCAATGAAGGAAGAAGAAAAGGGGTGGGGCAGATGGGAAGACAGAAAATCTACCAATTGTTGCGATTGTGTCAGGGGAAGTATGGAAGAAGTTAATCCATTGGCTGCTTGTGGGAATCTCTTGTAAGGCACTCATGGCAATGGAGATGGCATATAAAAACCAACAGAAATGATGTTATAAGATGTCTTACGTTACATCTACACTTAGAGCTGGGAGAGTGATTCCCAGCGTGAGGAGAAATACTTGCACTTGCTCCCATTGAGCTCAGGCACTAAAAATAGAATGTAGCCATGGCAGTGAGAGTGGTGGGACTGGCTAGCAGCCCTCAGTATGTGCCTAGGGTCTCTGGCACAGTAGTGCAAGTATGTCTCCTCGAATGGGAATCATAGAATCACAGAATATCAGGGTTGGAAGGGAGCTCAGGAGGTCATCTAGTCCAACCCCCTGCTCAAAGCAGGACCAATCCCTAAATAAATGACACCCCCAGCTCCAAGTGTAGACATACAATTAAGGAGAAATTAATACATCATCTTTGTCCATGTTCCCCAACCACATATTTTTCTCAACATTAACAATATCTGAGTGGTCTAGGCACCTGTTAGACTTTTTTTTGTGGGGAAAAGAGTTCTGAATCTGTAATAATCGGAGACTGAGATCTTAGAGTAGTAATATCAAAGCTCTGTCTTAGTATAAGTGTATTAGTTCTATGGAATATACTTACTATAGGCGATCTTCCCAGAATTATCTGTGTCTATTTCCTTAAAGAGTTGAGAAACATCAAGGTCAGGGACTCCGAGAGATGACCGGAGAATACAAGCAAACTCGTCTTCTGTTATGCTGCCGTCATCATCAACGTCAAAGAGCTGAAGTAGAAAGATTACAAAACTATAATGTGAACACCCCTAGTATCAGTTTGCCTATGTGGTAGCACAGCAATTTCAATTCAAATTAACCTTTGAAAGCACCCAATAATGGTCTCTGCCATTCAAGATGTCTCAGCAGTTGCCACTGTGATTTGAAGACTGGAGTCCCAACAACTAATTTTTATTACAAATTTAAAAAAAAAAATGTTTTTTTCCAGAGAATGAGATGGGACATTTTTCAAGGAACTTTTCAAAAGAAAGACAACACTGAGATCAAAGGATGCACGATGGACAAATGCAATAATTGGATGTAAATATGCTGTACTGGAGAATATGCTCAGAAACTAGTCATGGAAAAATTTCACTAAATTAGGTTTTTCAAAAACACGGCCCATAGTTTGTTATAAACCGTTGTATTTAAAAGGGATGTGATCACCTCTAAAAAGTGTCCCACGTATATGTACGAAAAAGAACACCATCAGGCTTTTGTCTTCTTTTTCTGCAAGTTAAACTTTTATGACATGACTGAACTTGCTACTATTTTGGCTAGGATGAAAATCCATATTGTAATAACATGCATGATTTGTTGCCCACTACATATTTCATCCCATCCTTTCTAGCATGGCAGCGGCAGTGAGCAGCTGCACTAACCACTCACTAGTGTCAGAAATAAAGGGAACAATGGCTCCCATCCTGCAAAGAGCTCCCCAGGGGTGAACCCCTGCAATCGAGCAGAACCCATTGCAAGTGAAACCACGTTTGATAGCAGATAATGGAAGAAAAGTCATAGCTCCATTTCAGAGTAGAACGCTTCCCACTGAGGAGAGTAATGCTGTCCAAATTATCGGCTTCAAAGGAAATGCAACAGTTAATATACCATTGGCGGTGGCTATGGTTTGGAGGCCAGTCTTTCTGAGGATCTTCAGACACAAAACATCTCTGAGAAAGCACTGGAGCAGTGGTTGAACAGGCTGGATTGCCGGAATACTTAGCTATAAAGAGCAGCAATAGGACACAATAATTTCCCATAAAAATATAGGCAACCTCTTGAGTAAGCACTGGTCTCTCTTATGAGAGTCCTATTCAGAGTAACTGTCCCTCACATCTCAAGACACTGCACGAGGAATACACAAAAGCAGAGCAGTGGAGGGATCTCAAAGTCTAAGTGTCCATGATTCAAAACAAGCTGGTAACTAATTTTTTATTTTACTAGCCTTGAGATGTCCATTGATGACTTTTTAAAAAAGAACAGCTAGACTAAACACTTGAGCCCCACCAGACTATTCTGATCTACAGATCACTCACAAAACGCCCCCACAGAAGTGTGTAACTGTTGCTGAATCATTTTTGGAGTTATCTTGCCAAGTTACATATTCCTTAGTGCTTTCACATGGCTTTTGAAGAACTTGTCTATGAAGCTGACATCTGCATTTTCTTCACTACAAATGTCAATTGGTTTAAGGACAGGAGTACTTGTGGCACCGTAGCCCACGAAAGCTTATGCTCTAATAAATTTGTTAGTCTCTAAGGTGCCACAAGTACTCCTGTTCTTTTTGCGGATACAGACTAACACGGCTGCTACTCTGAAACCTGTCAATTGGTTTAAGAGCATTACTCACATTCACATAACAGATTGAATCTATAAATTTGTATTATGATTTGAAAGAGAACAGAATTACAGTCAGCCCAGGTTTGTCAGGTTTACAGTGCTGTACTAAACTGAACTTACCTTAAATGCCATCTGAATAGTCTCTTCTGTGTTGGCAGGATTACAAAGAACAGACAAACCAATCACGTATTCTCGGAAGTCTATGGTGCCATCTCCATTCTGTAACCACAAAGACAGATGGCAAAAGTTAGAGTTAATAGCTTGGATCACTTGAAAGGCTCATCATATGAGAAATATAATCAAGCTATGCAATCTGTACTAATGTTTAATTTACTATTTAAAAAAAAAAAAATCAGGAAAAAAATCAGTACATTTGTACCATTTGAAAAATGACCAGTGAAAGCATTTCTACGGATGAACAATTGACTTCTGGTTGCAGTTTTGTAAGCACCAGTTCACAAAAGGATTAAAATCTTTACCTGCGTAAGAAGAGAGTTTTGGTTATTAGCTTTTGATCACCCCCAAAAGTACTTTTGGCTAAAAGGAATAGAACACAGAGATATGATGCAGCATACACATAGGCAAGAAGTTACCATGGGCTTTCTGTGGAGCAAGTATTACGTTCACAATACCTGTAAAAATACCTGGGACACTTCATGAGTCAAACTACAAGATACACCTCTACCCCGATATAACGCTGTCCTCGGGAGCCAAAAAATCTTACCGCGTTATAGGTGAAATCACGTTATATCGAACTTGCTTTGATCCACCAGAGTGTGCAGCCCCGCCCCTCGGAGCACTGCTTTACCGTGTTATATCCGAATTTGTGTTATATCAGGTTGTGTTATATTGGGGTAGAAGTGTATTGCACTTTAATCATAATGGCCTGTATTGGAAGTAGGAAAACCAGATTGGATTAAGTAGAAAGATACTACAGTAAATTCATTCAGACCTAAACTGCAGTTCCTTTGATGGGACTGGCTATCAGGTTGAGGTGAAATTATTGGCGAGTCTATTTGCAGTGAGGGGAAGTGGCAAATACCTGCCGAAATACATGTGCGTATTTGAGTTGATTGTATTTATGTGATGACCTTAAAAGTTCTTTGTGGACTTGGGAGATATTCTGTCATGGGTAAGAAACAGTAACATTTGAAAGTTAGGTGACCAGACACAGAGCATCTACCTTGAGGTTAAGGTGACTGGTGATTCCTGGGCTGAAATATTCCCATGAGACATTCATCAAAAAATTTTGAACAGCGAACAAATTTGTAAAAACTGAATGCTGATGGTGCAGAATTCATGAGGAAAAAAAAAGGGAGGGCTACATTTCTGAATTAAAATATTCTTCCAGGAGGCAAAATAGTAGTGTCAAGATCCTCTCAAATGGATCAATATGAAACATTTTACAGACAAATGAAGGAACAATAGTCTTGTGGGTAAATACACAGAGCAGAAGGGAGATCTGCATAGCTTTCTGGCTCTGCAACCAGCTTGTGCGGTCCTCTTGAACACAACACACTTAGCGTCTCTGTTCCTCAGTTCCCCCATTTGTATAATGGAATAATAAGCTACCTAATGGAACAGTGCCAAGACTAAATTGTAGAGTGCCTTCAGATCCTTGGGATCTGCATACCGTGGATTTCCATTACTGAATGAGTGCTTCTGTACTTTGAATGGTCCTGGATTCAGATAGGTGGGTGAGAAAGTATTTTTACTCTTAAACAAACAAAAATGACCAATATACTTGGCAAGATTTAAAGCAATTGCTACCTAGATGCAAGTTTACTCAGCCTCTAAAGCCAATACACTGCCAGTTTACAGACACCCATGTTTTGTTTTCTATTGATAGGGTAAAGAATCTTTGTAAAAGCATTTAGAATATTGAATATCACCTACTGTTTAGAGACTTGCGGGTTTGCCAACAAGTTTCCTTATAAAATTCTTCACTGCTAATAAAATTACCAGCATCCTGTTAGACAGGTAGCATGGTATAATTTGATGTTTGTTGGCAATTTTCTAGTCAATCTCTGCACTTTAACCTCTTTGATTAACAGTTAGTTGGTACCTCGGTACAATTTTTTTTTTTTTTTTTTGTCCAATGGTGTCTGATGCCAGACATTTTAACACTATGGATCTTGTGACATCCAAGTGTTAGATATACAAGGTATCGTTGCTTTTTATTGTGTAGTTTTACAATCTGAATGCCCGGATTGTTAATTTATCATCAAAGGTCCAGCAAATGCTTGTATTGTACATAATTAGTTGACGGTTTTTTGCTGATTCCACTAGAACTGTTTTCAGGAATTTACAATTCCATTGTACATGTGGCGTGGCATGAAGTACAGTTTTAGCTTGGGTATGTTTTTTTTTTTTAATGGTTTAAGATTGTCCCAGTGGTGCATAAAAATATGAATGCAAGAGTCGAGGGTGGGAAAGTAAGCTATGTTAAGTGAATATGGCCTTGGTTTAAAACAAAAACACACAGAATTTGAAAATCAGTTGGTTCATAATGGGGACTAATGCTTTCATTATTAATAAACGGAGCATGACAAAGTTAGAATGGTCAAATTATTTCCATCTAGGTGTCAAAACCAAGAATTAAATACAGTGCAATCAGAAGTACTTCATTCCAGCATTTTGGATATCTGGGTGTGATAACTGCACTTCAAGTTCATACTGTGACTTAATCATACTAACTCCTAGGATGCTGGCTACTTGCCAGATGGTTTGACACTTGATGAAAGGAGAGGTGGGAGGGGCAGGAGCAGAAACGGAGATGTTTGCATGGCTCCTGGCATGAGAAAGGATAGGAGGGAAAGGATGGGCACTGAATTAAAAATGCATCTAGAGAAACACTGACAGTAACAAGCAATGTCACTGCAGGTAAATTTGGCCTAACAGCCTCTCTGTTTTCACAGGAGATTGTGCTTTGCAGCACGATACGCAAGATTTAAACTCTGTAGCCAAAGCTATTCTGAGAGGTGACTTGTGAACCAAAACCCCAATTCTCCAAATAGCAAAGGTAAGGGGTTTCCACGCACAGCTACTTTTTCAATTTAAAATTTTGGTTTTCATTTCAGGTCTGTCACATTAACTCATTGCAACGGTCTGGTGAAATGTCCCCCCTGGATTCTCTCACCACCGGAATACACCACGTGGTGAAGCAGAAGCCACTGCCTCTGGTTATTATATAGCCCAAGTCATACACTAGGATAATAGCGGCACTTACCAGGCTTCCATGGGCTATCTACCTACAATATGCCCAGCAGAGTTCAGGGTGGCTATGACAGAGCATGGGGTATACGGGCCTGGAAAGCACGAATGAAGCAGTGGCTGGCTAGTGTGACTTTGGGATCCTGCAGTGTGCTGAATGCCTGAATGCTGCTCCCCAGCTATACTTATTATTAATTGGGTATTTGGCATAGCAAATACATGTAGCTCATTTAAATATTTGTATGTTGCTAAACAAAAGTACAAGTTAAATATAACAATTTTACTGTGTATTCTGATTTTAAACCAGACTTCAGCATTGCATTGCCATTTTCAGTATGGGGTACTATATATTTAAGATGTATTTTCTGTTTTTGAGTCAGAGGTATGCGCTCAGTTAAGTACATTTATGGTGGCCTCAGTAGCAGTAAAGCTTGCATACTGTAGGAAAAACACCTCCCCACACACACACAATAAACGGTCTCTTTAGAGCTCCATAGGGAGAAAGACAGAGCATGGACACTGAATTACCTTTTTTCCAACTAGCAAAACCCCTTCCAAGGCCAGGTGGATGCACAGGAGTGATGTGGAAAAAGCCTGAGGTGTCACTGCCCAAGGGGCCCAACTTGCACTGTGCCTATAAAAGGTGTCATAACAGGGATAGTTTTCACGTCGACTTCTACCATCATTTCTAGTTTGATTTAGAAACCATATTTCCTAGAAGAACTGTTCATGCATGTCAAAGAAAATCATCACAATCGCTTCTAGGTCTGCAACAGAGAGAGAGGAATTCCTATTGGACACAGCAGTATGGACATGCTTTTACATGTCTCATTTTCATAATAGGGAACATCATGCAGGAGGTTGTTATTTTAATCCTTCCCTGCCAAACAATTACCTGTACCCACAGGTGAGATCTCACTAGCCTGAAAGACAGAAATTCTAAAGCAAACATTAATATAGCAACATTCACCAAGGTGTCATTCTCTCTCTTTCACTCACTCTTCTACTGGGATTATTACCCACCTAGCCAAAATGCTGATGTAGATAAAAGTATGCTTCTGTGATTTATTAATTTGTGGACGATGTGGAGGTGGATGTGGTTCAGGAGTTAGCCTATTTTGTCACAATATGACTATTCTTTTATTTTTACTAAGTTCCTGTGATTTAGTCAGGTATCGGGCACCATAAGTGATTTAAACGATGGTTCGTACATTGTGGAAAGGTGATCAGATTTCAATGACAATGTGTACACAGACTCGGTGAACGTAGAAATGGAAATGGAAGCCATAATGATTTCAAAATACATCAGCCTGTTGTTAATCAAATGCTATCCCCCTATTGTTTAGTTAGTTAGCTGCTGATGACACTTTCTTACCAAGGTGGTGTAGGAGGGGAATAGGCGGCTGGATATTTGTAACTAGACATGACTGCTTGACTCATCTTTTCACATTCCATTCAGCTCGCTCACGCTCTCTCTCTCTCTCTCTCTCTCTCTCACACACACACACACACACACACACACACACACACACACACACACAC